TGGAACAACTACCGAGTAGCACCATTGAAGTGGACAGGTGCATGAGTGGATGAGTGGAACAAACTACCGAGTAGCACCATTGAAGTGGACAGGTGCATGAGTGGATGAGTGGAACAAACTACCGAGTAGCGCCATTGAAGTGGACAGGTGCATGAGTGGATGAGTGGAACAAACTACCGAGTAGCGCCATTGAAGTGGACAGGTGCATGAGTGGATGAGTGGAACAAACTACCGAGTAGCACCATTGAAGTGGACAGGTGCATGAGTGGATGAGTGGAACAAACTACCGAGTAGCGCCATTGAAGTGACAGGTGCATGAGTGGATGAGTGGAACAAACTACCGAGTAAGCACCATTGAAGGGACAGGTGCATGAGTGGATGAGTGGAACAAACTACCGAGTAGCGCCATTGAAGTGGACAGGTGCATGAGTGGATGAGTGGAACAAACTACCGAGTAGCGCCATTGAAGTGGACAGGTGCATGAGTGGATGAGTGGAACAAACTACCGAGTAGCGCCATTGAAGTGGACAGGTGCATGAGTGGATGAGTGGAACAAACTACCGAGTAGCACTATTGAAGTGGACAGGTGCATGAGTGGATGAGTGGAACAAACTACCGAGTAGCGCCATTGAAGTGGACAGGTGCATGAGTGGATGAGTGGAACAAACTACCGAGTAGCGCCATTGATGTGGACAGGTGCATGAGTGGATGTGGATGGGTGTTAGATAGACCTGCCTAGCATGGATCAGTAGGCCCGATTCTGTGCTCCTTCTTAAATTCTTATTTGATGTAGCTCTTCTTATAAAGTTCCAAGATACAAGGGTAGCTCACTTCCGTCTCGTGAGGGCCAGGGATGCGCCTTGATGCCGGTAAAGGAATCCTGATCCACAGAACTGGGCTTATGGTGCCTTTCCATGTACTGAACCTGATTATCTTCTTGGGTAATAATAATAATAATAATAATAATAATAATAATAATAATAATAATAATAATAATAATCTCTCAGTGTACTTATCGCGTCCCTGCATTTCATTGGAGGTAATATGCACCGTGTACCAAAATTCTTACTTTTATTTGGAATGATTTCAACGTGCATGTTCGGAACAAATTCCCCCAGAATTTTCCAGGTGTAAATTTTGATGTACCTTTCTCGCCTACGTTCCAAGAAGAACAAACAGTTCACGAGACTTTCGTGAGTTCCCGGTGGTTCAGATGCTTGATTGAATTTATATGGGAGCGAAAGTTCTCTGATGAACATTTTTCCAATTCTAAAAATTACGTAATATAGCTTAACTTAAGCCTACTTAACCTATCCAAAAATCATTCTAGCCTTAGTATTATTCGTCATCTTTGAAATATATTCATTTTGAGTTTTTTTATGGATGATTTTTCGCTATTATGAAAGCAGTACATTCTTGCCTTGATTGGTAGAACGTTCGTTGCTGAATAAGTCAAATGGACAAGTTTTTAGCTATAAATCAAAAGATATAACAATGGGATTCGTTCCAAAAAATAAGCTGAAATCAGTATGAGGAAATATTCGCAGCATCACTGATTTGTTAATGTTGCATTCTATTTAGCTAATTTTTTCCATTGCTCTATCATGGAACTCAACTGGGATCACTTATACATACATATACCGAGAGACACCGTCAGGAATCTCGCTTAAATATATCTAACAGTTGTAAATGAAGAAATGGAGAGAAAACTGAGTAAAATAGGTTGTGGAGTTTGGTGGCGGCGGAGGCTGGCCACCAGGTGACGCGGCTTGGTCAGGTTGTGTCAACAGTCAATGTTTAAACTCGACCGACACACTGCTCACTAAAACAACCTCCTCATACCCACTGTTTAACGTTTTATTTGCCAGCTGCACGCCAAAATATCATACTTTTAACTGAGTTTTATAGCCATTTGCGTTTCGATTGGATACATAATGAGCTTGAGGTACAAGGCTCATCTAATGCTTCAGAAAATCCCGTTTAGTTGTCAGAGACTGCAGAGTCATGAACGAAGCCAATGATAGGGATTCGAACTGCTCATTTCGCTTTTTGCTTATCTTAGTGCCATTATTTACTCCTAATCCACCAGCACGGCTTCAAAGGCTACCGCTAAGTAAAGACAAAGAAAAAATCCCGCGGCTGTCATGCAACCTTCCGCTATTTTGTGTGATGGTAGGATTTTCTTCCCCTGAGTGACAGTATTAAGATGCTTCGTGCTGGTCTGTGGTACACGCTTTCCTAGTGGCCACAATCTTAGTCTCTTCGTTTACATTTTCGGAACATTCTTTATATGATGAATTTAAAAAAAAGAGCTTGTCTACGTTGTGATAGTTGCAAAAATTCATGCCTTTTCAGCCTTTTTTTTTATTTTATAACTCAAAGAAATATCAGCAAATGATTTCGTGAATATGATGACTATATTAGCCTTGACGACATTACTGAGGCTACACTATTAAAAGACTCACGGTGAAGACACCATAATTGATCTTCCATGCAAAATCCAGGACAAAAATCATTCAGCCTACAACATACAGAGAAAGAGAGAGAGAGAGAGAGAGAGAGAGAGAGAGAGAGAGAGAGAGAGAGAGAGAGAGAGAAACATGAGAACCACTTTAGCTCTGTATCCTCTTCCTCTCATCCCCACCTCAAACACCACCAGCACCACCACCCCCGCCACACAAGACCTTCCCCCTCCGTTACTCTAAAGGCCCACCCCTACACACCACTCACTAAACATCACTCTTACACTCCACCCCAACACACACTTTCCACCCTTAATATGTCACCCACTTGAGGTCAGACTGAGTGTAACCACCCGTTGTATTGCTTGAGGGTAGAGTGCTTCCAGGCACTTGCTTGAGGGTAGAGTGCTTCCAGGCACTTACTTGAGGGTAGAGTGCTTCCAGGCACTTACTTGAGGGTAGAGTGCTTCCAGGCACTTACTTGAGGGTAGAGTGCTTCCAGGCACTTACTTGAGGGTAGAGTGCTTCCAGGCACTTACTTGAGGGTAGAGTGCTTCCAGGCACTTACTTGAGGGTAGAGTGCTTCCAGGCACTTACTTGAGGGTAAAGTGCTTCCAGGCACTTACTTGAGGGTAGAGTGCTTCCAGGCACTTACTTGAGGGTAGAGTGCTTCCAGGCACTTACTTGAGGGTAGAGTGCTTCCAGGCACTTACTTGAGGGTAGAGTGCTTCCAGGCACTTACTTGAGGGTAGAGTGCTTCCAGGCACTTACTTGAGGGTAGAGTGCTTCCAGGCACTTACTTGAGGGTAGAGTGCTTCCAGGCACTTACTTGAGGGTAGAGTGCTTCCAGGCACTTACTTGAGGGTAGAGTGCTTCCAGGCACTTACTTGAGGGTAGAGTGCTTCCAGGCACTTACTTGAGGGTAGAGTGCTTCCAGGCACTTACTTGAGGGTAAAGTGCTTCCAGGCACTTACTTGAGAGTAGAGTGCTTCCAGGCACTTACTTGAGGGTAAAGTGCTTCCAGGCACTTACTTGAGGGTAGAGTGCTTCCAGGCACTTACTCATATCACCTAGGGAAAGAAAAGCTTTCAAGGAGAACCAGAGCTTAAATAATGTTATTATACTCATTGGAAAGTGCTAAATCCGTAGGAATTATACAGCACTCAGAGAATGAGGCTACTCAGGCTTAATCCGAGGGACAGGAGGATAACTCTAATCCCTTGAATCAAGAGACCTTCACCAGCATCAATCCTCTCCCAGTGAAGGTGTAAAGGTGACTGGTTGTTTGTGGTTGGCATAAACCTTGGTACATTATACCATCAAGTGGTTAAAGACACGTGGGCAAACACTAAGACATATTTATTAGAAAACGTTTCGGTTTTGGCGTATAAGACGGTTTCAACGAACGCTGTACACAGGCGTTGTTTTGCTCGTCACGGCGGCAGGTGGACTAATGCTCGCTAAGTCTCAGCTGTAAGGACCTTTCAGTTTCGCCTACTTACTTATTGTCACACTAACCACAAGTTATGACATTTTATTACTATTACAATCAGGACAGAGCTCTAAACCCACAAGGGTCATGCAGCTCTGACAGGTTATGACAAAGACTCCATCACTGGTGACTGGGATTGTTCTCTTATTAAATCCTTAATAAAGGATGTTTCCTATACAGGTTTAGCACTTCCTCGCGATAACAGTAATTATGTAAGACAATATGCATTTCTTTGAGAAGACGTTTCGTTCACTAGGGAGCATTATCAATTCCGGGAAATGATAATGCTCCCGGTGGACGAAAAGTCTTCTCAATAAAATGCTATAACTACGAAGCGTGTCTTATTAACGTAATTTTCGGTATACTTTAGCACTGATAATGAACAAATGAATGACGACTCACAGGTAAGACCCACAAGGAGTGAGGGGAAAGTGAGGACAGACGAAGAATGGCTCTAGAGAGGACCATCTTGACTCGTAGAAAGACGGGGCCAGCGGCAGAGCTTTGTAAGGCAGATGTAGAACAACGTAGAAAAGCAGGACACTCGCCTGAGTCTGTCTTGCTAGTGTAGCACTAACAATAATTTTCCACTACTCATTATCTCTTTCTCTCAGCCAATTTGTATATACGAATATAGACTGAAGATGAATCATCTGTCAGTTATTATTTGATGATTACTTAATGCTGTGCTTGAGTGTCCATCACAAGCGTTACTTGTGAGTAATGGAGTGTCCATCACCAGCATTGTTTGTGAATGATGGAGTGTCTGTTACGAGCGTTGTTTGTGAGTGATGGAGTAGTGTTCATCACTAGCGTTGTTTGTGAGTGATGAAGGAGTGTCCATCACTAGCGTTGTTTATGGGTGATGAAGGAGTGTCCATTATCAGCGTTGCTTGTGAGTGATGGAGGAGTGTCCATCACCAGCACTGCTTGATGGAGGTTTACAGGACGACATGTATAAGTTAACATAAATGGATACGGTATGAGTAAACGTGAGCGATTTAGGTAGAGTATATCCGATGTTATTAATAATAATCTCTCCACAGAGTACGAGGTGACCAGCGAAGGTGGAGGCGGGGGTATGAACGGCGGTTCTAGCGGTCAAGGAGGAGGTCCTACGAAGCGTGCCCGCACCGCGTACACTTCAGCCCAGCTGGTCGAGTTGGAGAAAGAATTCCACTTCAACCGCTACCTTTGTCGCCCCAGGAGGATCGAGATGGCTGTACAACTCAGCCTCTCGGAGCGGCAGATCAAGATTTGGTTTCAGAACCGCCGGATGAAGTACAAAAAGGATCAGAAGACAAAAGGAGGGCGAGAGAAGAGCCCGAGTTCTCCATGCTCGTCTCCAGCTACTTCGATGCCGCCTATGTCTCCTTCAGGAGAGACCACCAACCTTTCTAGCCAGTGCCTCATCAGTGCCTGCCACGGTGCTGGCATCCAGCATGCTTCACGTCCCCAGCAGATGCATGACTCTCACAATTACCTAGCAGGAAACACCTACAGCGGGCCTACTCAGCACCAGAGGCCTGGAATGGTCCAGTCCATGTCGGGATCCCATGGACACGTCCCGCACTGCATGGGCCCTCCGGCATTTTCCCCTGCTGTTAGCATGCATGAGATGCGGCCCGTATCGCTAACGAAGACGGGGCAGCAGCATCAGCAGCAACATCAGCAACAGCACCATATGAGAGACGCCCATCACCCTGTTCACATGAATTGCCTGCCGCCGCCCCTGACACGGTTTCCATCACTCCAATCTCCTGCTGCCCACTGCATGAACCACGAAACCAAAAAGACGACAGGGTGGGTCGTGCCTCCCACTTCGTCTATGAATAGTCTGGCTAGCTTTCCCTCGCCGCCCCACGATAGCGAGGATAAGTTTGTATCACTCTGATGCTCTATAAATGAGTGAGGTCAATAAGAGGCTCCACAAACTGGTGTTGTCGCTCTGCCAGGATCAACGAACTGGTGTCATCCTCTTTTGAGGGTTCACGAACGGGAATCGTTAGAGGAGTGATCCGAGGACTGTTACTGTGCCTTGGAGCGTCGATTGACCCTACAAGACGAACTACAACAGTAGGAAACCCAACGCAAGATGACCCTGAAAGATGACCCACACATGATAACCAAGAGGGATAACCCTACACATGTGACTTCAAAGGTTGTCCCCATGGAATGAAGTCCTAGAAAGACATTACTTCCCCAGAGGCTCGAGTAAAATTATAATATATTTTAGCATATTTCTAAGACGTTTCCAGGTAAACTATACCCGAATTATCACTTGTGATTAATGATAGGTTTTCTAGCTCGTAATGTTTCATCAGTCTTTAGATAGATATTAAACAGAAGATTGTTACATGTCGTTTACTTTTAACTTTCCTAATGTTGACATTGACGCATTTGATTGATGATTGATCGATTCCTTTGATTTATTGAATAACATTTGTTCCTTTGTTCTATTATTATATAATATCAAACAAAATTTTATTAACAATTTCACATAATTTCATTAACAATTTCACGGGAAAGTGCTAAGTCCGTACGGGTCGTACGCCTCCTGTGAGAAAGAACGGCAATCAGGTTAGATTCAAAAATAAGATTTGGCTCAATTCCATGGATCAAGAGGGATGTATATACACAGTTAATTGTTCATATCATTATATACACCGAGATACCCGTCTCGGTGTATATACTAATAGGAACACTTAACTGTGTATAAATTCTGTTATTGTGATTATTATTGCTAATATTTTTAATTATAATTTTTATTACAGTTTTCAAAAAATAAGGGCTAAATCTGTATGGATCATGCTGCAATATATATATTATATATATATATATATATATATATATATATATATATATATATATATATATATATATATATATATATATATATATACAGCAATAGATATACCGAAAATTACAAACCTCAGTTTATATACCAGAGAGATATTCACCCTGGTGTATACAGACTGAGATACAAACCGGGATATGTACCAAGAAACACATCTCTCAATGTATATACGCTAAGAAATACATATTTGTTAGTGATACCTTGAGGGATTTACTCCTCGATGTACATACACAGAGGTACACTTTTGTCGGAGTATATACACTGACAGCTAATCACCTCGTTGTATACATATATTGCAATTCACACCTCTCGGTGTATATGCACTGACAAATGCACACCTTTCGCTGTATATACACCGAGTGTGTGTATTAGGGGGAATCGGGGGTAGCAGCAGCTGTCAACAGAAGGGTGGAGACGACAGGACCTACCCTTCCCTCTGGGCCAACAGCCGCGGGCTCCGACACTCGCTCTCAGTCGCCGATAAATACATCAGTTACCCCTGAAGCCGGTGACGAGCAGCCAGGGGCACAGATGACAGCCAGTTGTATTCAAAGGTTTACAGAGAGCTCGCAGTAATGTGCGTAATGCTCGCCTATTCACACATTTTTTCCCAGATAACATCGCACCCCTCCATATAGTTTTGGCGCTGATAATCCAGCTGCTGCTCCATATGTCTTAAATGTAAGGCAGATATCATGCCTCGATGTTGATTTGGACGTAATATTTTTAGCGAGTTTCAAGGGAGGTGTAAGATAGTGGGTAGAGTGTGTTAGATGCTATAAATAATGGTAAAGGTGGGTGAATTAAGGTAGCAGAGTGTGTGGCGATGTCATCGTGTGATTGGCTGTGTCAGGGGGTGTGTCCTCATCCGTCATTGGTCGGCGATCCATCAACGGATAGAGACACTGGCTGACAGGAAACTGTTCGATTCACCTCCTCTGACTATGACTTTGGTTACTTTATTTGACATATGGAGGGCGCTTTCGAATAAATTACTGAAATTACCTAATCCAGATGTCGCCTTCTTGGTTATTGTTTGCAGCAAGAGAAGCAAGTTTTGGTTTACGTTAACATTCCTACGTTAGAAAATAGTGAATAAAAATCATCACGCAGTTTGATTCAGTCGTTGGAATGCAGATCGAAGCGCTTGATACAATCCAAAGCTCAGAGTTATTAAAACTTTCAGCTCTCTGAATGGAATTTGATTTTCCAATGTTTGAACTAAGGGGTAAGATAAGATGGAAAACTCCACGAAATTAACTGATTCTATTATAAAGTTAATGATTAACTTCTCTTGGGTGTTTGTGATTCAGTGTTCTTCTCTACCCCGTAGAGATCCCGGTATCAAGCAAACAGGAAGGCAGGCCGGCCGACAGGAAGACAGGCAGGCAGACACACAGGAAAGGAGGCAGGTAGTCACGCAGGCCAACAGTTCTATAGTCACATAGGCAGGCAATAAGTACTTCAATTATATCATTAGGAATGCTGACGATGAGGCTGTTAATCACGTAGTCAATCACGTTCATAGAATACACAGCACCAGTGTGGAACCCACAGTTAATAAAGCATGTAGGTAGTAGATGGCCAAGTCGACAAATGGTGATTCGAGAAAAGGCATTAACAGAGTAAGTTGTGGTATTTTTTTGAAGCTCCATAAATGGTACAAAACCAGTGAGTGTGTTATATGACCGTGTGCATAAAAGAGCCCCCAAACGAGGACTCAAAAGCATGGTTAAGTATATTTCAGTAATCCTTTTAGAGGCAGAGAAGAAAAGATAATAGCAGATCAAGGACAGGTTGTTATTATTATTATACTGAGGGAAGAACTTCGAAAGTTTCTAGGCACTCACAAGGGGGCGTGCGGCGTGACACGCTCAAGAAGGAAGATATGGGAACCTCCGTCCAGCAGTGGGTTAATGCAGTCTCTCTCTCTCTCTCTCTCTCTCTCTCTCTCTCTCTCTCTCTCTCTCTCTCTCCTCTCTCTTCTCTCTCTCTCTCTCTCTCTCTCTCTCTCTCTCTCTCTCTCTCTCTCCCTCTTTCGTGTTTCGATCCACTTTCTCTGTCTATCTCCCGGTATTTTTAACTCGCTCTCTGCTTCTCTCTACGTCTCTTTCTTTCTTTTCCCTCTCTCCCAGCCCTTCATCCATCCCTCTGTTTCCTCTCACCCTCACTTCCTCCATTCAATCCTTTCCCACCACCCTCTTCTTTATTTCTCTCAGCCTCCTACTCCTCCATTTACTCCCTCCCTCCTTCCCTCCCTCCCAACACTTCTGAGCTTACCGCGTCCATCAGGAAGCAAATGAACTCCTTCAACAGACACAAGACAAAAGGAGAGCATAATGTATTTCCATCGGATGAAAAGTGGCCATTGTTCAGGGCTGACGAATATTTTCTCAAAATCCGGTTTTATGGTTCATTTGCTGCCTCGATGCTTCTCCGGGCGTTCCGCTGGCCAAGCATCTAATGTAGCCGCCCCCAGCGCTACTGCCCCGCTCCCAATCTCACTTTTTTTTCAACGTGGGAATGAAAGATATGTGTGTACGTGCGTATGAACCAGACATTCGCCGCGCGGAGGTAAAGAATAAAAGGAATCGTTGAAAGAGAAGAGAGAGAGAGAGAGAGAGAGAGGTTGTAAAAATAATCGAGAAAGGAGGAATACTAACTGGTTTCAGCCAATGAGAGAAACAGCAACAAGATGAAAGGAAGGTAAGAGAAAAGAAAAGCTTGGGAAAAAAAACATCAACAAGGGAAAATAAACGATGCCTTCACGTTGAGCTCTTTAATCTGAGGGTGAAGTGTCTTGCCAAGGAGCCGAATAGGCCAATAAGTTGCTCTGATTCCGACAAATATCTGGTGAGTGCCCATCCCAAATCAGTTTTTATGCAAATCCCAAGCATAAATAGAGGGTGGCGAGCCGGGCTGGTACCGCGCTCAGTCTGCGCCTCCTTCACCCACCACTGTGCATGGGAATGTTCACAAATCACACAGTATTGGGGCTACTGTGCTTGGGTAGGAAAGTTGGGAGAGAGAGTGAGAGAGAGAGAGAGTATGGAACACTGTATATCTTTTAATAATGAAAAGGATTTCTAATGAGCTGATGTAGGTAACAGCTCTTAGCTTACAAATAAAGTTAGGAAGCCTAAAACCTGTGTAAAAAGAGAGAGAAGGGACGGAAGCTAGGACAGAAGGAGAGAGAGAATGTATAATGAAGATAGGATAGGGGGGAAAGATGGGAGTATGGAGAATGGGTAGGATGGAGAAAAGGAAGTAGATGGAAAAGGCAGGAGGGTTAGAAAGTAAAGAAATTGGGGAGGATGAAGAAAGGGAAGGAGGAAGGCAGGAGAAGTGGTAAGGTTGGGAGAAGGGGGGAGTAAGGATGAGAGGGGAGAGAGAGAGAGAGAGAGAGAGAGAGAGAGAGACGGCAAGAGGAAGAGAGAAATAGTGACAGAAGGTTGGACAGAGAGGGTAAGACGGAATGAAGAAAAGGAGGCATGTAAGCTAAAAGAAAAGACGAGAAACAAACATAGAGTAAATGATGGTGAAGTGATATAGGATGGAGAACTGATGGAGGATGATAAATTAAAGATGGAAAATGGTTATAAAGGAAGGATTAGTTGGTTTGCTAGGTTTCAAACCTATCGACTACTAACGATGGTCTTTAAAGCTGGATGTCACCTTGTGCACCACCAGTCAAGAATAATTCAATACCTAAAATAAGGAATCAAATAAACTCTGGGTGTATATACACTGAGGGATACATACCTACCAGAGTATATACCTTTCTGTGGAGGAATGGAGGGATAAAGGATGGCGGAGGGATGGATGAGTAAGTGTTCGTGGGGACCTCCACCCTCCATCTGTGTACACAAACAGCTCACTCAATCACATCACAAAAACACTAAACCTTTCCATTTTTTTGCTTTTTTTTTTTTGCTATAAAAGATCTTATAAATACCATATTTGATTTGGCTGACTCATAATTACCATGTAATTTTTCATTTTTATTTAATAACTTCCCTGATGTGTATGTCCTCACCGAGTTCTCTTAATGGGGTCGATTCGCCACTTCTAGCCTCTCCTGTTAAATTAAATTTACTGGAATACAAACTCCTATTTTCATGAGCCTTATCTGCTTCAATAGCTCCCTTAGGCTCAAAAAATATTTCTAAATTTCCCTTTGATTTCCAGCTGTGTTTGTTCCCATCTGTTCTGTGTGTTCCTCTCATCATACAAATTATTTTTGAAACAGCTACTGAAATAAATTAATTAGGGTCATAACATACAATTAATCGAGGCCAGGACAAACAAATTCTCGAGGAGAGAAACAATTTAACTAAGAACAAACAATTTATCAAGAACCTAGAGCAAACTTCGCCAAGGGTAAAACAAATAACTTATGAAGGGTAGAATAAACAATTTTGTAAAAAAGAAAAACAAAATAATCGTTGTCTCACAGCAAACTATCTATCAAGTACACATACAACAAACAGTTTATGAAGGGTACATAGCAAACAAGTATATTGGAGCCCTGGTCGACCTTTCTTCGACAATCGATGAACTTCTTACCATTTTTCGTCTAGGATCCATCCCAGTTGATTTATGAAGTTGATGTATACACCCTGAGATGCCTCACCCATGTACACAGATACGTACACACTGGTGTGCACACAGGTGTACACACAGGTGTACACATGGACATGAGTTGCTGACCAGAAGAAATTTATAAGAGCTTACCAAAGATTAAGGTTGAAAATCATGTTGTAAAGTTTAAGGGAAACTGACGTAAAATGAGTATTACTGTATGAGTATTACTGTATGAGTATTACTGTATGAATATTACTGTATGAGTATTACTGTATGAGTATTACTGTATGAATATTACTGTATGAGTATTACTGT